GAATGGTTAAACCTCGACTTTTAAGCTCAAAGCATTGAAGACATTATTATTTGGCGCTTAGCAAGAAACTAGCCTTACATCAAGACTAATGAAATGTTTTGGTATGCATTTTAGCAAATTATCTTTACAAGCATTATTTCTGTTAAACAATTTGCCGCGAATGTGCCTTAACGTATGTATGATGAAAATGCATTATCCTTCTTTCCCTATTATCACATTTGATAAAATTCTGAGATACCAATTCTCTTTGCAATTTTCCAAAAAGAGAAATGAATCAAATGCACGGTGTTGAAAAGAATAATATCCTAAGCAACATTATTTGAATATTTGGTGCGAAAAGTACGATTTTCTCGCAGTTTCGAAAGCGATCTTTTGAGAAATTGAACGTTATCGGTATGGAAGAAAATGTAGAAAAACAAACTGAAAATTCATTAATCTTGTAATACCCCACAGGTCATGTCTTACACAGATGCAAAGTTTCGTTGAACTTTCCGATAGCATTTGTGGATATCTAAGTTAGAAATTGTTTTGAAAATGTAGAAGACAATTTTATTTTTATCGATAAGTACCATCACAAATAGATGTAATCTATTAGAATGATAGATCTGATTTTTTTAAGAGAAAAGTTTTAAATGGAATGATGTGATGAATTGCAAATTGTTTATTTGTTCTTGTTTTATTTTGTAGATTATGTTATTTGCTTCTCATAACTCATATCATTTTAAAAATTCTCAAAACTTTTATTTAAAATAGATGTTTGTTTGCAAAACATTAAAATTCCATTATTTTTATTTTTCATTCTAGTATTATAAATTCATTACTCAAAAGCTGATTGATTATCCTTATTTTGTAATCAAGGTAGGCTGAAAGGGTTTTTATCTTCATTTTGGTGTTTGATATTGCATGAAAAATTATTTATGCCCGCAACTGAAAAGTCAGTGATGGAATTTTTTGTAAACGGAAAAGTAATGTAATTTATTCTTGTTTAATGCGGTAGCATTAGCAAAAATATTTAAAATGCTCCCAAATAGATACTACGTATTGCATTTATTATGAATCAAAATATTTTCTCCACCACAATGATTTAATTATCAATATATAGCTTAGTTTTCCAATCAAAACATTCTAAATGATATAAATTCCATTGATGGAATCGAAAAATTTTAATTCTTTTTAGTTATACACTTGTTTTATGAAATTTAATGCAAAATGTATCAATCTCTGTCAAGATTTTATAAGAAACACATTACTACAAAAACTACCAATCTTTAAGAAAATTGCTTTTTATTTTATTACTTAACGGTTTGTACGAGTCACTTAACAGGCGTGTTACACCAGGCTACCACTATTTTATTTAGGTGCATCTCTTAAGTTAGTTAGCTGATAAAAGAAGTTTGGTAAATGGAATCATAGTTGATTATACTTTCTGCTAAAGAAAATTATTTTTAAACAAACATCGAAGATATCCAAAAAAAAATTAATTCTAAATTTATATACATGAAAGGAGAAAAAAAATTCTGGTTAAATTATCTGGTTGCTGTATGGTAATATTTCTGAAAATTTTCTCCAGATCCCTGTACTCAGTGACCAACCACTGGACTTTCGACAGATTTTACGAGCACGTAAATCACATGTAATCAGTGGATCTTAGCAGGGTCGAGAAGCGAACCCAGGCCCCTCCAGTCCGGGGTTCAATTCTCTGACCACTGGGATACCACTACTGGTAAAAGAAGAAAGCATAATTCTGGTTAATAAAACCAAAATATACGGCGTTTAAGCCATTCATTTAGTAATTTTCGGTTTATATGGTAACGAGTTGCCGGAAATTTTGGTTTTGAAAATTATAGGTCTTATTACCACATATTTAGTAAAAATTGCGAAATTAAAAAGTGAATTTAACAGAATTGGTATGCTTTATGCCATTCTCATAATAAAATTATCAAATTTTACCACATTTACCAAAGTTTAGCACTTATTATAAAATTAAATTTTATTGTTAATTTTAGCAAAATACTTGCCAAAACACTTCGGTAAAAATTACAGAGCTTTTCGGAGTTCACATAGAGGCAGAAACACGATACATTTTACAGCATCCTGGTAGTTTTGACCACGCTTTTTTCTTAGAGTATGTTCTAAATCTATAGGAAAAATCACCCTACTAAATTATATTTAAGTAGTTTTGTTGTTATAAGAGAAAACGAAAAAGTACTCAACTATTAATTTTAAAAAATTCAAAGTGTCAAACGAATAAATGTTTGGAAGAAAACTGCACATGCAAAAACGAGACTATTTTTTTAACAAAGAATCAAAAGTGAATTTAAATATGATAATTGTCTATAACAATTTCTGTAAGAGATGTGTACATTTCTGATAAAATACCCTTGATATGAGACTTAAAGATAATTAAGAAATTAAAGTTAAATAAGTTTGCTTTACATGTTGGACACTGAATGAAATTTTGGAGCCAAATTTTTGGGTAGTTCTGATTTTGCTTAGTACCAGTCTATTATTGAGTAAGTATCAATATTTTCGGAACCAGTTTCAAACTGATACTAAGGCTAATAAGTATGAATTACACTTATTTTCTGGGCTTTTTTTATGGGATAAATATCAATATTAATTTAGATGTTAATTGATAAAGGGAATGAAAAGTTAAAAGGTATATTTTCAATTGTTTCTATTAGATCTAATTTTATTAAAATTTTATTTCCGTAAAATGTATATTTTGTACTAATTTACTCCTCAAAAGAGAACAACAGTTGATTTAAAATGAATACAAAATTAAAAATATTTTTTTAAAGAATAACATATTTAAAATATATTCATTATCGTTACTTTCAATAAAGTAATGAAAATACGTTTGTGGATTAAAACAGAATATAACTATCAAATTCGAAAGATAATTATCACTGAACAATAAACTAAATGTATTACTAAACGAAACATTTTCAATTTAATTATTTCCTGATAATTTAATGAAGAGAGAGAAAATCTTTTGGAAGTCAAATTAAAATTAATTATTTCTCTAAATTTCTGTAAAAATCATTTTAATTAATGTAAATTAAAAAATAATATGTTTTTCCTTCATAATTTAAAGAATAAAACATTAATGGTTTGTTGTTTCTGTCAAAATATTCAGAAAAGAATGTTATTATGAGTACTATGTCTTAAAAAAAGTTTTAAAATAACTAAGTAATTATTCTGCAATAAGTAATTGTGTAATTTTTTTATAATTGAGCAAATTGGACAGACAAATTATTAAAATATGACTAATTTAATTCAACTCGTACCATTAAGATCGAATCCTAGAACGTGAAGATCCGATCATTAGATCAAAAGCTATTCAGGGTGGTACTGTTTTTTTTCACTCTATAAAAATTAATGGGAAAATGGGAACATGTTTCAGCTTTTCACATAATAAAAGTAGTAGCGCATTTGCTTGATATTACGGTACGAAGTTTCGATAATATGGCTTAACTTATCTAACGTTGAATTGATTTTTCTGATAGTGCTTTATATGAATTGGAATCATATAAATTGTGCTTTATATGAATTTTTAAAGCCTGAAATTAAGAGCGATCTGTTAATTGCTTTATCAGAAGTGAAAGTTGATAATCAGTGTGGAAAGTAATTTTAGAAAAGAGTTACTTTTTATTTAACATTTAAGCACTCCTTTTTTAATGAAATCCTTTTCTCGACTAATTCCATAATTTAGGATTTTACATTTTAATGATAAAGAATTTTTACATTGATTTAAATGTTTATCATCGCACTTATACCAAAAAATAAGGAAGTTCAGATAAAACTATTTTTTGTTTTGAAAATAAAATAACTTGAAATTAATTTGAAACATTTATAATACTTAAATCCTCAAGTAATTTTTCTTTCTTTCAATCTGTTGAGGACTGTTAAATTTAATTAGCATTTATTGGTGAATTGAAGATAATACTTTAAAATAGAAAAGTGTAAAAAATGACTTTCGCATTCGTTGATTTTTAAACGCTTAATCGCATTGGATTTTAAAGCATATTTTTTAAAAATAGAAACTTGCATTCATGCAAAACCCTGTAAAGTATTACATTAGAAATCCAAACTTTAAAAGTTGTATGTTTTAAATTAGTGTCTGTGATTTTATCAAAACATTTTATGAAATTCTTTCTTTTTTGCATTTAAAATCTCTGTAGTTACAACTGCATATCTGGGGCACTTTTCGCGCTTAGTTACTATTAATACAATATTAAAAAATATTTAAACGTTACAAATACCTGTTGAAACTTTAAAGTTTCCGTGTACTCTTAGAATATGCTTTAAGCAACTGTATTATTTAATCTTTTAAAAAATTTGTCCCAAGGGGGGGGAACCTCCCCTTATTTTTAAGTTTAGTACTGTTTCAACTAATTTAGTACCACTTGGGACATAATAGAATTTTACTATAGAACCATGTTGAGAAGATAATAAATTTAAAAATTTTATCACTGTAAACTATTAATTAATAAAAAATATAATAAGCTTCAGAATATCGAAGAAAATAAGCTTTAATATTCCCTGAAGGCAGTTGTGACTCTTTTAAGTTATATTATATGGTTAAACATGCTATGGTTCTTCTAGCCGGGTGAAATTTGACTTTTCAAGCATCAACACATTCTACAGAAAATTCTATTCTTCAGTTATAGCAGTTTTTCAGCGAAATAAAGACGTGTATTTATTAGTGAAGGCGTGCTTTTTTCATAATTATTACATAGATTACTTTCTTTTACTTGAATTATTTTTGAGCGCTAAATTTAATAATAAATTGAATTTTTTTCCAAATTAGGCAGATGTCTGTTACTCCTTAAAACGCTATAACGTGTGGCAGAGAGAATATTAAGAAGAATTCGAACTAAGCTTAACAGAACAGGGGCAGATAAAATTTATACATTATAAAATAATTTATTTCAGTTCATACACAGAGACTTGAAAATTAAGATACAAATATCCTTATTACACAACTAAAAACATACCTGCATGATTTTAACTGTGAACTTTAGATTCTGCAAATGAAAAGCAACATTGAACGCAGTCGAAAGCACTCACCAACATCTTATCGATTGTAAACAATTACTGACGAAATTGCGCGCACTGACCTTGGAATTTTCAGAAGAGAAAATATTTAACGTATGGTGTGAAGGCGAGTAATCTCTGTGTAAACGTTTTGCATTTTTAGTGTTTAGAGCTTTTATGCATTCCTTAAATTGTATAAGAAAGCTCGAATCTGTGTAAACTTGAAAAAAATTGTTCTTTCACACAACATTTAAGGTTATTCAACACATTCGGAGAGATACTACATCTCAGTTTTTACAATATACAGGGTCTTTGTAATTAAAGTTCCATTTTGAAATGGCTATAAAAATAAAACTACCCGACCAAATGTCATCAAACTTGGTAAATGTCTATAAGAGGTCATGGGATTTTAGTTCCCGCAAAAAAAACAAATAAAAAAAAGTCAGAAATTCACCACCAGCGGAGAATGGCGCTGTATGCAATAGTGTTAAACAAATGTGAAATATGCAAATTTGTTTTACACGTCATGTGACTTTGCAGTTATAAAAGTGAGGCGCCTTGTCTGAGCTGTCAGTGTTCTGAGTCGACAATGTCTGTTACCATGCAAGACCGTGCTTTGCTCGTGAAATGTTACTATGAATGCGACAGCAATGAACGGAGGGCTTTACAAAAGTTCCGTACTGTAAGAGGAAAACGCCGAGGTCCAATGACACCGCAAGGTTTACGGCAAATTTACGGTAAAAGTCGTGGAAAACAAATTTACATATTTCACATTTGTTTAACACTATTGCATACAGCGCCATTCTCCGCTGGTGGTGAATTTTTTTTTTTTTTTTTTTTTTTTTTTTTTGTTGCGGGAACTAAAATCCCATTACCTCTTATAGACATTTACCAAGTTTGATGACATTTGGTCGGGTAGTTTTATTTTTATAGCCATTTCAAAGTGGAACTTTAATTATAAAGACCCTGTATAATAAGGTAGAAATAATGTTTTAAAGTGAGTTGTTTACGAGCTGCATTCATTATTAAAAATTAAGATACTAACTGTCTTTATATTTAATTGGTAAGATTACTCTTCTTATGTTAAAATATTGAATCGCTTATATTATTTAAAATACATTTACCTTGGTTGAAAAAAAATCGTGAAATATATGTAATCAAATATCTCATCACAATCTGGTGATAATTACTTAACGTTATCTGAGGAATATAATTGAAATTAAATCTAACTTCCGCAACTTTTCCCTTAACAAAGGAGTAAGCTTCTATTAAGCTGTGAAAGACGAAACACATTTCCAGGGGTCGTTAAATCTCCGTCTCATTACCGCCTATAGCCTAAGAACAACTTCGCAGCTAACGAATTTACCTTCAACATATTGTGTTGTAAATCCCTTATTTTTTTAGATTAAAAACTTGTTTATTTTTAGTAATTTACAAATGTGATCTTTCTGGTGACGAAAATTTGTTTGAAATTTATTTTAAAAGAAAGTTGTGATTTAATTACTTCCAATTTAAGATGCTCTGAAAAGTCTCCCTTTTATGTTTTCCTAATTACTTGCTAGACTCGAATGTCCCTTAATGATTTCCTTTTGGCTCATTTGAGGATTTCAAATTGTTTGTGATCAATGAACAATACTAACAAAACAAATAAAGAACTGAAAATAAAAAAGAAGTCTTATAAAACTCTATTTGCTCAACCAATAACGACTTGCTGGGAATTCTTTCTACTTGTTCTTTTCTATTTCTTATCAGTTTTTACCGAAGAATATTTTAAGTACCTCGCGTAACAATCAGGAAATGATATATACTATGTAAAAAACATTTTATGCCTAAATAGCTCTGAAAGATTTTAGTTTCTGTTTTTAAAAAGAAAAATTTCAATATTAAAATTTTCAAAACTTTAAATGTTTGTTTAATGCAAATTAAGTTCAATTCAAAAGAAAAAAATTTTTTCAATGATAATAAACAATCATGACAGATTAATATCCACACAACATAAATTATTTCACAAATAACCCCACTATTTATGACATTAGGGAACATTTTTTTTCTTTTTTGTTGCGTGCGATCTTTTAACAGATTGAAGATATTTTCATATCACTGACTAAAAAATATATATAGCTTGGCTTCTCCGTCCAAGCTATATATATTATTTAAATGACATTTTTAGTCTTTTTTTTGTCGAGATTATCAAATGACAAAAATTTTAAAACGATATATAACGATTTAAAAACGATATATAGCAGGGGTCACACTAGTGTTGAGACAAATTTCTGGGGGGAATTAAGGCACATTATCAGTCTTAAAACTGCATAGAAGCCCATACAATGTCATCATAAGCCGGTAGAGGCGCTACCCTATTATGAACTGTTTTTTCGTGTTCTACTTAACAGATCATAATAGAGAAACACGCCTGGGCTTTCCGGGCATGGGTAGGGGAGAGTGGGATCAATTGTAACATTTTTTACTGAACTATTTTTAACTAACAAAAAATCCAATATATTATTAGTATTAATTGACAGACGAGTAAAGTAGACTATCCTCTACTGGAAAAAAAAATACCTTGTTTTAAATGTTATTATATTAGTTGTTAACAATTTTTGACAGTCGTGCACTTGTTACAATTGTCCCCACTTACAGGGGTCATTTGTAACAGTTCATAAATTCAACTAAAACACAGTTAATTATACATATTATCATAGTTGTGATATATTTTTTTATTGATCAAAATAGTAGTGATATTTTAGGAGTAAAAATAATAATGAGCAGACACCTAAAGGGTTAAACTTTTAACTTTAAGGGGTTGAAAATTTTAATTTATGCTGTGAAAGGTGATAAATAAAATAATGCACATGCAACATAATATAAATGATATAGGAAACTATTGGTGGTTCTTAAAGAGTTAAGTAATGGTTTGTAAACATAAGATTATTTATTTTCAGCTGTTACAATCGTCCCCAAGACGCCATTTCAGCTTCATTTGTTAAAAACAATGCTAGTTAATTAACAAAACTAATCACTTTTTTTAAATGTTAGTTAAGGTGTCCACTTACTCATTCGGTTAATAATTTTTATTTGTTTGAACAAAATTACTTTGTTACAATATAATATTCTAATACCAAAAAAAGTACTTATGCAGAGTGAAAATATCTTTTGTGATGTAACTCTTTCAAAAGTACATAAAAATGGTTGCCAGCAGAGGTGTACATGTAGATTTATTATACACTTCGTGCGCCACCTGGGAACCAAATCTAGAACCCGACACTCGAAATTTTTGCTCTGTTACATTCGTACCCTGTTACAATTGACCCCACTCTCCCCTTCCGATTTTATTCCTAATGGTATGGCTCAACTCCCGTAGAAGTTTGTCGCAAAATTTACGTGGCGCTCTCTTATATATAATATTTTTAAACTTAAAGATTTCAGCAAAAAATGAACTATCAATATCATTAAGAAAACTATAGTTTTAGGAGAAAAACTAATTTCAAGTCTGATATCCCCACGCCCGAATTAAACAAGATCTAGCATTTGTGTAAATGCAACAAAAGATTTGATTTCCAGTGTAATGTTTTAAAACATTTCTGGATGTTTTAAAATATTCAAAGTTTTCCGACAGTTCCAAAATGTTTTTATTCAGTGCTTGAACTGTAATAGAAATGTTAGCATTTTGCCACATTTATCAAATTTAGGAAAAACTCGAGACATCTCTGATATATTACGAAAAAAAAATATCTATTACAATTATGCTTTATTTAAAAAATTACATCCAGGGAAACATACATTAAATCTTTTGAAAACATATATATGTTCTATTTTAGAAGCAATTAAATGACACGCTTTATAATCTATAGATTACTACAGAGATTCTGAGCAGCATAGAGTTATTCATAGTCCATTCTGACTATTTAAGTAAATGTTATGAATAAAGATGCATTAAATTCTAAATTAACGGCAGTTTACTATCAAGAATACAATATCGAGTTTAAAGTTAAGAGTAAGATTTTACATTTTCTTAAAATACAAACTACTGAAGTTTCGATAATTTGTCAAGGAAAATAACGCAGATTAACTGTGATAATCGAATGGGATAACTTAATTACACGTATTATTAACACTAGATTGCCTAAGGAAGTCATTTTGACTGCTTTTAATTTCAACTAGAAAAACAATGATGTACATAATGACACAATTTCTTAGAATTTTGTACACCATATAATTTTTTTATTGTTAATATTTACTAAAAACTTGTTATATAACTGCAAATAATACAAGAAATATTATAAATTAATTTTTAGCAAATTTCTTTACACATTATTTATTCTTTTACAATCCAGTCATTTTGACTGCTTTTGGGCAATTTAGGTATATACTAAGTTTCAGTCTTGTGTTAAGAATGTGTGATTAAGTTACATTCTTTATAATATGCAATCTGTGTCACTGTTGGTAGGTGAAAATTTTAAATGGCACCTGAATGAATAGCAAAACAAAAATTAAATGAAATTTAATTTGATCATACCAACTTTATAACTTTAACCATTTTTATTTATTTTTATAGAATTCTTAAAAGTCGTAAAACTAAAAAAAATGTCGTTTGACTATAACCATGTGTCTTGATTAATTACACATATCTCGATTAAATTACGCATAACTTATACAAATGTGTGCTTGCAACTCGAGTAGAAGACGATCACTGATAAACTGACACGTAACCTATGGCATCAGCGCCATCTGATCCTTTATAAACAAGATGGCTTGTTAAAGTCAAGCTAAATTTCTCTACATGAATTAGCGTGTAAATTTAAGTGAAGTTAATTAAATACAACGTCATACGTGCATTGAATTAGTTAAAACATAATTCTTTCTCGGCTACATCTTTTACTTAACTTACATCTATTATTTGTTTATGTATTTTATTGTAAACGTGATATATTTTTGTGCACCAGGCAACTTCAATGCATTATTAGTTTGTTTATGTTCTGCGTGGCTTCGTACCTGTATTTGTATTAAGTAAGAAATATATAGCGAAAGAATTTAAATCTATGAGAAAAAAATATT